AGACTGACCTAGCAAAAGACAGGATCCAGACTCCTTGAGGGAAGTTCCCTGCCCACCCACAGTGGATGGCGTGGGCAGCCCGGGGCACCCTGGTCTAAGCCAGCCTGTCCCCTGCAGTGTAAACTCCGCCACTCAGCAGGCCCCCACTTGCTTGTCCCAGAGCCCTGCCATTTTGAGCCATTCCTGTTGCGAGAATCAGGAAGGATGAAGTGCTGGCTTCTGGGCTGCTTGACTTGACCTTGTCAAAGTCAAGTCTGGCCTGGACTGAGCAGGCAGACAGAGATGGTCTTATTCAGGGACACACTGTAAACCAGAGCCAGAGCCCTCATCTGCAGTCCTGTTCATCATACCTTGCCTCCAGCTGCTTTTTTCTCTAAAGTGGGAATTTTGAAATGACCTAAAAGTGTTCGTAGAATACTGAAAATTGATCCCACCAGCTAGCGTGGGGAAGCAGCGGTTGGATAATTCAAGATAAAACTGGCTTTGGGACCTAGCAAGTCTGGCAGCATTCATGCCCGGTGATAGTTACCGAGGCTGGTGACGTGGCCTCCTCCTAGTGCACACCAGCCGGGAAAGTACTGACATACAGGGAAGAGAGCCAGGTAACTTTGGTCGTGAATTCTGCCCATTGCCTCTTACTGCTGAGCAAGTTGCTTCATTCCAGGCCTCTGTTACCTCATCTGTAAAATGCGGTGAACACTCAATGTCCTAGGTTGCTGGGGTTGAGAATTGAACCAACACAATGTCTATAAAAGGGCTTAGCCCATAAGTAGGTGCCTAGGAGATGTTCACTGTGGCTGGGAAAGGCAAAGGGAGAGTCCCTGTGGGGAAGGCCAACCCGGAAACTGTCCACGCCTGCTGGAGTCTCCAGCGCTGGAAGCCTCCCTTGGGTTAGGATGGATGGAGCCTTGGGAACAGCTTTCCCAGAGCACAGTTGTGCCTCTATTATGGATTTGAGATGTTTCTGCTTCTCAATGTTCTCTCTTTTTTCCTGCCTGCTTGCCTGCCTTTTGGACCTCTTGCTGTATAGGGTGGCAGATGAAGCTTTCTACAAACAACCCTTCGCTGACGTGATTGGTTATGTGTATGTTGCAAAACTAATTCCTTTTGTTTTGATTCTATTTTTTGTTTAGAGTTAATGCACCTTTTATGCCACACGTTGCTTTGCTTTTTAAATTATTTCAAATTGACACTGTGGGGGCTGCTTAAGAGTTATAAGCTGGGGGTATATGATCCATTGATTGCCTTGCAGAACCATGACTTCCTACAACTCCGATTGCCATTTGTCATATTTCAGTTTTGGAGGGAAGGGAGGGAGCTGACTCCTTTTCAAAATGTGGGTCATTCGTGATCTTGTCTGGGAAGGCTTTGGGACTGGAGGGCTCTGACCTCTTGCTATTGCTGCCACCACTCCCTCCCTGTCCCAGGTGGGGAGGGCAAGTGTCCCCACATGGGAGAGGTGGATGTCCTGGTTGGAAGCCAGTGGGGACAGCAGCATTTTCTACACTTGGCTCCTTTGAAGAACATGTGGGGTTGGTTGCCTTCTCCCTGGGGCAGAGGGAGGTTGTCTCTGCTGGGCGCCTGTAGTGGTTTCTCCACGGTCTTACATGTCAGAAATTGCTGTGTAGTGGCCAGCTTCTGGTGCCCTGTCCCCTCGCCCGTGCACAGAGAGGCCCCAGCCCTGAGGTGAAGATGGCCAGAGCTGTCTGACGTGAGCTGCTTTGGCTTTTTCCTCCAAAGAAAATTGCATCTTCTCTGGAAGGCCTTTTGTTTTGTTTTAGGGATTCCTACTACCAAAGCAGGATTGCTGAAGACTTGGAAACTGTTTCCCCCTTAAATATGAGGACTAGACTTTGAATGAAGAAAGATGAGGGTGGAAGGAGGGAGAGAGGAATTGGTGGGGAGGGTGGCCAGCAGGCTGAGAGGTCTGTATAGCCTCTGGGGCCTGTGATCTTCAGGTGTTCATCCTCTGAGAAGGCAGAACTGGGTTTCGTGGGCCCCCAGATACATTTACAGTGAGGCTTGTGAAATGCTGGACTTACAGGTGGTATTGGATTTGATTTTTGCACATTCTCTCTGGAGTAGAAATGGAGACTAGAAAGGTCGAGTCTGGGTTTGCTGGGCAGCAGGGTGGCCCAGCAAAGCCAGCTGCACGTTCCCCAGCGTAAATAGAGTGGCAGGGGCATGTCTAGCTTACTGACCATCTGCATTGAACTCATTCTCATTTTCTATATCTGACCTAAAGTTTCCTTGTTTCTTTTCTTCTCTTCACCTTTAAGCACAAACATAAACCATCCTTGCTACAGCCTAGAACAGTTAAGTAAATCTTTCTCACTGCCCCTAACTGTGTGTGCCATGCAGTCGCAGTGTTGTAGTGGCTCTGGCTTCAGCGGTGTTTGCCACGGCCATCCCTGTGAGAGTGCGCCCCTCTGTCCCCACGGACCAGTCATCTCCATTGCTTTTGCTTTGCCCGTGACGCTTGTTGGAGTAGATGAATCTAGTGTGTCTTCCCTCCTCTTATCACTGTCCACATTGTGGGCTAGAGCTCCCACCAGCTGGTTCCCAAGCGGGGGTGGGCTGACCTTGACTGAAAGAAGGTTGGAGCAGCAGCTTACCAAAAAGCACCTAACGTTGATTGGCTCTCCAGCCACCATTGGGTGCCCACCCCTGCCACAGTGGGCTCTCAGTGGCTCAGGGTACCTGGCTGGAGGGAAAATGGCTGACCTGGAGAATGTCCTAACAAACCCTTTCCAGAATGGCTTTAGTGTCTAATGCCTGCTAGCATGGGAGCTTCTTTTGAATTCCTTTTGATCTGCCCTGTTTCTCTCCAGCCTTAGGAGTAATCCAGAAGCTGTTGTGCAATGAGCTGTGGGCTTTTTAGAAGTCTCTAAATTTATTTGAAACTTAGTACAGCCCTAACATAAACTACTGTGCAAGTTCTTGACAAGCCTCTGCTTTGCTTTTAATGAAGGCACTTTTAAGCTGGCTGAGGACTTGTTTTGTTTTTTTTTTAATGCTCTGTGTCAGCAGAGAGAGAGCCCTGAACCAAACACCTGTATTCCAACATTTTACACGGCAGGGCAAGGCACCCTGTGCCAAGGAGAGCTGGCCCTGCGCCTGCTCTCCAGTCCCACCTGGGCCAAGGGCTGTGATTCTTCAGAGAAGCAGAATGCCATCAAGTCAGGCATGAAGATGCAGTTGCTTCTGTAACAAGGCAGCCACCGGGTAGCTCACAGGGGTTCTGCATTAAACCAACATATTTTGTTGTTGCTTCCAGGGCAGCAGAAGAAGCCTTTGTAAATGACATTGACGAGTCATCCCCAGGCACTGAGTGGGAACGGGTGGCCCGGCTGTGTGACTTTAACCCCAAGTCCAGCAAGCAGGCCAAAGACGTCTCCCGCATGCGCTCTGTCCTCATCTCCCTCAAGCAGGCCCCCCTGGTGCACTGAAGAGCCGCCCTGTGGAAACACTACATCTGCAGTACCTTAGTCCCACTCAGTGAGGCTCTTCACGTAATTGGATTAATCATGTTGAGTTCTTTTGGACCAAACCTTTCGTCTTTAGAGTTGTTCATTGTTTGTGATCGCATGTTTCTTCCTTCAACCGTGTTCTCCCTGGCATTCAGAGAGGAGGGGGAGGTGGTGGCAGAGGAAGGGAGGGGTGCCTCCAACGATAGCCTCAATTTGTGCTTTTTGTGTATTATTCTGAGAATAAATTTGTTTCAAATGATAAACACGAAGCTTCATTATTGACCTCAAGATGTGCTGCTGTTTGGAGTGAGGTTCCAAGGAAGCAGGAGTCACTTTTGCCATTTCTAGGGCTAAGGCAGCTCACTGAGGGGCCTCCACCCAAGTCTGAACTAAAATAGCTCCAAGTCTCTATTGTCTTTGGAAGTTTCCATTTGAAAAGGGAGTTCCAAGGCCAAAAGTTAACCCTCAGTACCCACGTAAGAGAGCTGTGAATTCTCACCAACCTGTATATTTCTCCCAGATGGCTCATTTGTCACTGTCCCTTACTTTAGGGCCTTGGGTGGTACAGTTCAGTGGCATGTATTTCTCTGGGGTCATACACTATAGTGAGACATTTACTTTCAGATTCTGCCAGTAAATCTGAGTCAGACTGGCATTCACGCGTGGCTAGTCCCATTACTCTGGATCCTGCTGGCACTTGGCTCGTGTCTGTTGTCAAGTCCTTCATCTAGATGGGCCAGTGGCCACTAGGCACATGTATCTACTTTAAAATAGAAAATACATTCTAGTCCTAGTTACATTTCCTATGGCATATGTGGTTAGGTAGTATCCAAACGCACAGCACAGATCATAGAATATGTCCAGTGTAGACAGTTCCAGACCACACTGATCCACACATCAGGTGCCTGTAAGAGACTGCTCTGTTCGGGCATCAACATGTTTATTATGTGCCCTCAGAGCCTGTCACATTTTAAGTGATAGTTCAAGCAACTAATAAAGCCGTATGTCAGAAGTCTGCTTGTAGTTACCTGATAGGATTTCGAAGTTGGAGCTTGATGTAAACCGTAATACCACACTCAGGTAGGTTTGCCATTGTGAAGAAGGAATGTCCACTGCCTCTCATGGCAACTATGTCTGAATGGGAGAGGAACCTTCATTACTTTCTAGCCTCTCTGCTCGTTTCTCCCCTTTAGCCACCCCAGGCTACAGTCAGGCAGTCACTCACTGTTGTTCACCACCAATTTGTTCTTTCTGGGCCTTGCTAATGCCATTCAAAATGCCAAAATCTGGCACTGGTTGGGCAGCCCGGTTGGCTACAGCATCACCCTGGGACACGAAGGTGTCTGTTCCATCCCTGGTCAGGGCACATATAAGAAGCAACCAATGAATGCATGATAGGTGGAACGACAAATTGATGTTTCTCAAATCAACTTTTAAAATGTCAAAGTCCAGTTAGGAACTAGCCTGAAGGCCACCTCCACAGTGCTCCCCTTACCCCCCCCCCCGGGCTCCCAAGGGCCCCTGTGCAAGGCAGTGTACCTTTTGGTGTTCGCTTGGTGGTGCCACCTGGATGGGTCTTGCCTCCCATACCAACTGGGCTTCTTGAAGTGGGTGTGACAGTTGTGAAATGTCAGAATAGTCTTCTGACATTCCTCAGATCGAGAGGTGACTGGATAATATTGTGAGAGGGATGCTGTGCGACTTCCAAGGCTAGGTCACAAAAGGCAGGGCAGCGGGCTCGCTGGAACACAAAAGCTCTGGTGATCCTTGAGCCACTGTATAAAAACGCTCTGCATCTGAGGCTGTCACCCTGTGAAGAAGCTCCAGCCAGCCCACATGGGGAGACCTGAAACCATAAGCAGAGACAGATGCCTGGCCCGTGCCTGGTGTCCCAGCCGCCTGTTCCTCCAGCGGCAGGCACTGACTAAGTGTATCAGACACCCTGCGGCAGAATTGCTAAGTAGGGCCTTTCCCAAATTCCTGACCCACAGAAACCATGAGAGAAAACAATTACTGTTCAAGCCTCAAGTTTTGAGGTGGTTTGTGACAAGGATTACTTCTGAAACCTACGTGACCCACACGGGGCTACATAAAAAGGAGGGAGTTGGTCCCAGGGACTCAGTGAGTGCTCAGCATTTACTTTCAAACCTCTTTCCTCAGATCACTTTGCTTTTTATGTCACATTTTTAATGTTATTGAACATAGCACTGGAAGTCATATCCAGAACAACTTGGCAAGGGAAAAAAAAGGAATCCAAATTGGAAAGGAAAAACTAAAATTCAGTAAAGTTGCAGATACAAAACCAATGTACAGAATTCTGTTTCTATACATTAATATTAGAAAGAGAACAATACCATTTACAACTGCATTAAAAAGAATAAAATACCTAGGAATAAATTTAATTAAGGTGGTAAAGATCTACACACCGTCCGACATTGGTGAAAATGGAAGACAACACAAATAAATGGAAAGATATTCTGTGTTCATGGACTGGAAGAATTAATAGAGTTAAAAATGTCCATACTACTCAAAGCATTCTACAGATTCAATAACATTCCTATCAAAATTCCACTGGCATTTTTCACAGAATAGAATAATCCTAAAATTTACATGGAACCACAAAAAAACCTGAATAGCCAAAGTGGTCTTGAGAAAGGAGAACAAAGTTGGAGACATGCTCTCTGATTTCCAAATATATACAAAGCGATTATAATCAAAACAGTATGGTACTGGCATAAAAATAGACCTATTAATGAAACAGAACAGAAAACCCAGAAATAAATCCACACATATGTGATCAATTAGTTTACAACAAAGGGAGCCAAGAAGATACAATCAAGAAAGGACAGTCTCATAAATTGCATTGAGGAAACTGAACAGGCACATGTAAAAGAATGAAACTGGACCACGATCTTACACCATACCACACAAAAATTAACTCAAAATGGGTTAATGACTTGAATGTAAGACCTGAGACCACAGAACTAAAAAACAGGCAGTAGTAAGTTCCTCGACTTCTGTCTCGGTGATGATTTTTTGGAATTGACACCAAAAGCAAAAGCCACAAAAGCAAAAGTAAACACAGGGGACTATATCAAACTTAAAAGCTTCCACATGGCAAAGGAAACCATCAACAAAAAGGCATCCTACTGAATGGAAGAAAATATTCGCAAATCGTATCTGATATCCAAAACTGAGCATAAAGAACTCGAACTTATAACTCAATAGCAAAAAAACCCAATGTGATTAAAAAAGGGGCAGAGGACCTGAATATTTTTCAAAAAGGGATATGCAGATGGCCAACAGGTACATGAAAAGATGTTCCATATCACCAGTCAGGGAAACGCAAAACAAAACCTCACACCTGTTAGAGTGGCCACTATCAGACAGACAAGAAACACCAATTGTTAGCGAGGACAGGGAGCAAAGAACCCCCGTGCTCTGTTGCTGAGAGTGTAAACTGGTGCAACCACTACGGAACACACTGCAGGGATGCCTCAAAAAATTAAAAGTAGAGCAGCCATAGACCCAGCAGTTCCACTTCTGAGTATCTGAAGAAAACAAAAATACTTAAAGATATACACACCCTGTGTGCACTTCATCATTATTTACAATAGCCAAGACATGGAAATGAACAGATAAAAAAGTCATGCTGTGTATATATATAATGGATTATTCTTCAGCCATAAAACCTATGAAATTTGCCATTTGCAACATGGACGGACCTTGAGGGTATTATATGCTAAGTGAAATAAATTAGAGAGAGACAGGTACTGTCTGATCTCACTTAAATGTGGAATCAAAAGAAAAAAACAAACCAAGCTCACAATAAACCACAATGGATTGGTGGTTGCCAGAGATGGTGAAGTAGATGGTGAGTGAAACGGGTCCAAAAGTACAAATTTCCAGTTACAAAATAAGTAATCCATGGGGGTGTAATGCACAGCATGGCTAACTACAATTAATACTGTATCACATATTTGAAAGTTGCTGATAGTAGATCTTAAAAGTTATCACAAGAAACAAATTCTGTAAAATATACATAATAATTCTTTATATTATCAAAGTTTTTTTTTGTTAAGAAATAATATTAGATGCCTTACAGAAGTTACATGACCTTCAAAAAGTTAAGAGATGCAACAAGGTAAATCTCTTCTGGGAATGGAAATGCTTTTAGCCAGTGAGTTAATTTAAGAACAAAACAAAACAAAAGTGCTAGGATTTCCGCAAGGAAATACATTTATTTTTTTCTTCAGAATTTGGCTCAGTAACAAAAATATTTACATTAAAATAAATTAAGATATGATTATGTTGGAATATATTAGTCTTTCCAGGAACTGAAAAACTAAGATTTGGCTTTAGATTCAGTACCATCCTTCATATATTTGGGTAGCAATGCAATTGTCTGGGGTGGGAAGTGGTTACAGATTTCACTGAGGAAGGACTGGCGCCCCTTCACAGTGCGCCCTCCTGCCTCAGACACTGATGGCCGAGTGGACCAGCTTCCCTCCCAGGAATCACCGGGAATGTTTCAGCAATAACCAGGACCTGGAGATCATTTCAGGGCTGGTAGAAAGTTCTAAGAATCAGTCAATCTATCTTTTCACATTAACCCACCAGGAAGGAAGTACTAATATAATATTGATTCCTTCACTTTATTTTATATGCTAATACTGAAGCAATGTATTGTAGAAATCTTGAGGTTCTCCTAAAATAATAATTTGAGAAACATATGCATATCATATGCTTTGTTAGGTCATCTAAAAGTATCCCTAAAACCTATCACTGGCAAAATTGACACCACATAGAATATTTGATCAAATTATCTACTTATAGATAGTGCCATGGATAAATCAAGGCGTTACTAGTGAGATACTAAATAAAGCTTCTGCAAGTCTGCAGTAAATTCAAATACATTCATGTTTTGAAAGTTTTTTTTTTAAGTAATTTTTAATTTATTTTTAGAGAGAGGGGAAGGGAAGGAGAAAGAGTGGGAGAGAAACATCAGTGTGTGGCTGCCTCTCATGTGTCCCCTACTGGGGACCTGGCCTGCAACCCAGGCATGTGCCCTGACTGGGAACCGAACCAGTGACCCTTTGCTTCACAGGCCTGTGTTCAATCCACTGAGCTACACCAGCCGGGGCTTCATGTTTTGAAAGTTTTTGACATGAGAGGTTGTGTAGCTTAGCAGAAAAAGCAGAGGGACCTGGGATTGAACCCTGTCTCTGAGACTCACTGGAGACATAGCTTTAGCTTGGAATTCCATAAGCTGGGAATTAAAACACCTGTTTTACAGGCTTCGAAAATTTAGAATAATGTATTTGAGATGGACTGAGTTCAGAGCTGGCACACAGTAGGCACTTCATAAATGGTGGCTGTTAGTTTTTCTTCCAGGTTGCAACTGACAGCAAGAACCTTGGCAAGAACCTTTGTATCTTGGCAGCAGTGAAAGCCCAGAACCTCACTTCGCTGGAACCCAGACTCACAGACACGGGCTCCAGGTCTGACGTAGACGCTGCCCGCATGGCTCTCTGGGCCGCACCCCGCGCAGGATGAAAAGTTACTACAGGGAGAGCTGTCTGCTTGTCAGTAGCAAAAATCCTTTGGGAGGACAGTTAATCTCCTTTCAGAGGCTGTAAGTCCTAGTGGCTTCTCAGCTGTCCTTAAGAAGATAAGCACAAGGTCACTAAGGCCACTGTAGTTCAGATCCCTGGTCTGAAGTTTCTCAAGGTTCTAGGAGAGTAATAACGAGTAACCTTGGGGGGCAGTGACAGGTACATGTCCAATGTCATGATTGTGGTAATGGTTTCACAGTTGCATACCTTTGTTGAAGCTTATCGAACTGGGCACTTAAAGAAAAGTTCTCTTCCAAGGTGAGATTTGCTTTTGTTTCCTGACTAGATCCCTTTTGCCATCTAAGTTTAGGGCCAGAGGAGGAAGGATTAATAATCCAAACTCCAGTCTTAAGGTCACATTCCCAAGCACAGCCTGCAGGTCTGAGGGGTACATCTAGTAAGCAGAGGCCAAAGGCTATTGTAGCTGCTGTTGGCACAGAAAACTGTGAGTGGTATTTGTAGGGTCTGAGCCCAAATGGCCCAAGAAAAAGCAGCATCTACAAAAATGGGGATGGGGAAAGGTGACTTTGGAAGAGGGGACTAAAAGCACAAATTTCTCTGCCAGAGTCACCTGCTATGTATCAAATTTAAATAATCAAATTTGCTTTTTAAGAAATGTGCATCCGAAAGATAACCTGATTCCATTAAGGAGCTCTTGAGTTTCGGTCTGTGTCCACTACCGGGAAGCCTAGTAGACCCTGCGAGTCGTGTAGTCCAGAACCATGCTGGCGGCCCCGAGCAGGGCCGGGTCCACCAAGTCCGAAACCACCACGTCCACGTCCTGCACGGAGGGCAGGGCTTGCTGGCGGATGACGTCTTTGACAGTGTGGATGTAGTGACTGGCCAGGATTCCCGAGAGGATCACGAGGGAAGGATTCACGGTGTGGAGGATGTTCACAACCCCAAGACCCAGAGCCGTTCCAGCTACGGGAAAACAAAAGTTTCAGGAAGGGAACCAAATCAAAAATGCCCAAGGGAAGGTCGCAGAGCCAGTGGCCAGGAACACTGACGCGGGACAACCAGAAGCAGTGCCTGTGAAGTGGTTCCTGGCTTATTAGAGAAAATGACCACGGGCTACTCTGAAATGAAAAAAGCTGGGTACAAAACTGCATGTACCATACAACGTGACCTCAGCTATTAAAAAAATAGAAATGCTGGAAGGAAATGTTAGTAGTTGATATCTCTGAACAGTAAAAGTCAGTGACACTTTCCTTAGTCTCATTATTTCTCTAAATTTCCTATAAAATAAGTCATTTCATCATAGCTGTAAAACTCAACAACAACAACAAAAACATTTAAAAAGGCAGTGCTGCCAAATACTGTGAAGGCGATTGCCTTTTTCCCCCCTCTCACTAAGCAGAAAAAGTACGTCTGGATAAACACACAAGAGCACCTGTCCTGAGGGAAGCTGGGCATCCAGGGGAGCCCCGGTGGTCCCAGGGCCCGTCCCCCGTGCCAGAGCTGCCAGGAGCCGACACTCACCTGTTCTCAGGATGCCCTGGGCCTTTGCATTGCCGAGTTTGGCAGCCTGGATGAGATGGAGTGCCCCCACAGCTTCGTCTTTCGGTACTGACATCCCTTCCACCAAAAGCAGGTCTTCTGTTGGAGCAGAAGTAAGAAGCAGCAGTCAGTAATGAGCTATGGCAGCCCTGTGGGAAGGCCAAGGTTACAACTGTGCTGGTGGGCAGCAGGCCCTGAAGTGGGAAGACAGTATTTTCCTTTCACATTTGCAAAGCTCGCTGTTGATAAACATCCACACGCATGCCCTTGTCGCCCTCTTGTCTGGGTATACATCGACGGGATGTCCCCAGTTCTGATCAGAACCTCCTCCTCCTCCCTCTAGCCCCCTCACTTCTCACTTTCATACGAAGCAGTGTCCTTGAAGTGTCCCCCCCACCCCACCCCACCCCACCCCCACGTAAATGATCAGACTCCTCTGCATTCATCTCCTTCCCTACCCAACTCAGACGCAATGTGGCCTCACTGGCCAGGCCCCCACATCCTACGGCGGGAATGCACAGTGCCTATGGCACAGACACGGACCTGGTTCAGTCACCAGCTGTCATCTCCAGCTGGACGACCCTTCCATGCCATGTCACCTCCATGTTGCTCCTCTCTGAGAGACTGGGGGCATAATATAACAACACCTACCCTGGCAGGATTATGTCAGGGGTTGAATGACATAATGGACCATAAAGTACTTAGTTCAGCATGGGCCAAAGTAAAAGCTAAAAAAACAGTAGGTATTTCTGTAATCTAGAGTCACCGCCCGTGTCCCTCCCTCCGCTGGTCATCGACCCAGACGATCAGTCTCCTTTCCGACCTTAGCTCCCATTCCTGTGCTCACAGATTCCACTTCCTTTTCAGTGTAGTTAGGCTTCTGCCCCCACCGCTGAACTTAAATTTTAAGATAGGCACTTTCCCCTAAGGGGGCAAAAACAATCTTTCTGTAGACACTACATAAACAGAGAACCTTTCTGTGGTATTAGAGTTTCATGGGGTGAGATAATCAGGAAAAAAAAAAACCATCTAAACAGGCTCCTTATGGGGGGTGATGATAAAAATGAGGCAGAAAAACACTTTTCAGGGCTTCAAATGATGCCCTTGTGGGCAAAGCCAATGAACTTTTCCGATCTCTCGCAGCAGCATTCGACACTACCTACTGCACCCGCCCTGAAACTCTCCCCCTTTGGCTTCCGTGACTTTCCCTTTCCTAGTCTTCCTCCCACCCCCAAATGCTGCTTTGCAGGATTCCCTTCTTGACTCTTGCCTCCTTCCAGGTCTCTTCCAGAGGCTACACCACCACCTCACGGCTGACTCCCAAACCCTTCCCTCTGGCCTAGTCATCTCCCCTGAGCATCAGAGCCTGTAGCTGGCTGCGTCTCTGCCACCGAGACCTGTTCTTCGTCTCACCTTCTCAGCCCCAACCCGTCCAACCAGAAAACTGGAAGTTGCTCTATAGAACTGTCCCATTTAAAGCCACCCTCCATTCAACTCCCATTTTCCTCCCAGAAAACAAAAAGTTACAGTTCAGTGAAGAATCTGCAATTCAGATCTGACTGTATCCTTCCCCTAAAACTTTTCAGTGGTCTCTGTTGGCCGCTGATTCTGGCTTGCCTCTTACTCCATTAACTCCGCCCTTCATGCCTCAACAGCACTGTTTCCAAGCTTGGAAATGTCCCCTTGCTCATCCAAACTTCCCTCACTGGTTCTGCCTACCCTCTGACTCTAGACCTCTCAGGACAGCACCCTCGTGCTCTTTTCACCACATAGAGAGGGCACCCTGCCGTCCCCACCACTGGAGAGGAAGAACGTTAACACACGTCAGGACCAAGGAGCCTCTCCTACTTCCGTCTGAGAACCTCCTTTTCTTATAGGCAGGGTAAAGGTTAAAAGTTCTGGCTTCAGTGTTCCTCTCTCCAGAATATCTATCTACTTTGAAGTACTGTTCTACCTTTGGCTATTTAATTCCTCAAGAGAAAGAACCCACCGTCATGTAGTTTTTTTGCTTCCTTCTGCAAGGCCATTCCAGAAGCGTACGCTTCGATACAGCCATGGCTCCCACAGGAGCAATCGGGCCCATCTAGAGACACAACGAGGTGGCCGAGTTCCGCTGCGCAGAAGGAGCTTCCATGGATCAGCTCATGCTGATGGATGATTCCCCCGCCAATTCCTGTAGTGAGAGAAGCGATTGTTCAGGAGGCTCTTCAGTGCAACAGCAAACTGATACGGCAGTGCCTGGTGTTAAGGAAAGCTTTGGGATGTGAAGTTCTAATATAACACTAATTCTTAGATAGCTGAAATTTACTAAGGACCAAAACCTTATTTGGCATCATTTTGGATGGGGATAATTTTGGCAGATCCTCTGATACCTTTTGTGGCAGCTGCTTGGCTCAGTAGATTTCAGCTTCAGCAGTGGCGGCCAGTCTGTGTATGCCCGGCCTCACCTGTGATGGCAGGTATCACCTCAGGCACACACTGCCCACTGTTCTCACCAAGGCTTTCTCCGACGCTAAGGAGCTTCGTCAGCCATGTAAACACCATGCCCAGAAGCAACCCTCAACCAAGGCAAGACAGGAGCCAGCAGATCCAAGTGGACAATTCTGGATGGTACTCTGCAGGCTTCCAGGGAGGTCCTGGTAGATTTCAGCCCCTCCTGCCCTCAAGGCAGCTCGGACACCGTGTCCTCTAACAGCTCCTCCTCTGTCCCACTCTTCCCACTCCCTCACTCCTGCTCAGGGTCACGGCCCAAACAAAATGCCCACACCTAAACTCTTGCCCTAGGCCCTGCTTTGGGGAAGACAGTCTTTTTAAGGAATCAAATACCTCCTGCTCTCTTAAACAGAATATGAAATATGTTTTGCCTCTAATACCATCAGGCCTAAAAAATCTACACTTCAGTAATTATGAATAGCAGTGGCTGTCTTCTTATGGAGCTTAGGGTCACTAAGGAGTAAAGGACATTGTGCCTCAGCGGGCTCTGCTTTTCAGTTGTCCTGCCACCGATCACCTCTTGTGTCATCTGTTCCTCTAACTCCACCCCTCTCATTTGCAGCTTATTAACTGCTCTGTGCTAGGAAATGACGGCCAAGTTTGCTAGAACTGTGTCTGAAGCTGAGAGAAGTGTAGGAGCTTAACAGGGTGGCAGCATAATGCAGGGTTTAAGGGCACGCCAGTTTTGAAGGCAGCGTGTCCAGGATCGAATGCTGGCTGGACCATGCACAGCTGAGGCTGTTTCCTCATTTAAAAAACAAACGAGGACGTCAGCAGATATGGCAGAGTAGGGAACAGAGCCCTCCCTCCCAAAAGTCCATCCCTCCACTAGAGCAATGAATAAGCTAGCAAAAACTATCAGAATCAACTTGTTTGGAACTCTGGACACTAACCAGAAATTTGCAACAACCAAGGAAATGCTTAATCAAGGAAAAAAACAACTGAATGTCACTAAGAGCTTTCTGGCACTTTCTGGCCCCATCACCCTCTCCTCCCCAGGAACTGGCATGGCCTTGAACCAGCAGCCCCCATTCCCAGCACAGATGGCAGTGTGGAGGGAACTGAACTAACCTTCCTCTCCAAGAACTGGGTGGCTTGTTTTGACCAGCTCAGTGGGCTTGCCTTTATCTTGCCTACCTCAGAACTTACCGAGGGCTCAGGGGGCCACCCAAGGGCCATTTGTCGAAAACATTTGAAGACAAAATATGCTAATTGGCCTCCCCTGCTTAGGGAAATGGGTAACAGTGGGAGCAAGCAATATACTGACCAAAAAGACTGGGAGGAAAAGCTGGGGAATGAGAAGCTTTCAGAAGGCCACGTACATGCTCAGAAGAGACCCGAGCAGACCTTCAGCCTCCCGTGTGGCTCTGCTCAAGCAGGCCAAGGCGAAGCTGTAAGCTTCGTCTGATGCTTGAGTGCTGATGGTGTGCCCGACACACTCCAGCTCCTGCAGCAGCCATTTCTGACTGCTCCTCTTACCTGTGCCTGTGATAAGTGTCACGAAGTTTTCCAGGCCCTTTCCTTGGCCAAACTTCCTTTCTGCCATGGCAGCGCAGTTGCCATCATTGTCTACCCACACGGGGAGATGCAAAGTGTCCGACAGGGGCGTCCTGAGGTCCACCGAGTTCCACTCTTGAATCAGCTTGGTCGAGTGCAGCACGATTCCTTCCCGGGGGTTTACACGGCCGCCTGTGGAGACACCTGCGCCCCACCGCAAACACGGGGGAGATCATTCTAATGAGCCATCTCAAAGTGTGCTGACTTTCTGGGCTCGGATCACCAATTCACCCAGCAAACCCAAAGACCAGCATTACCAAGGAGAAACTGCAGAAAACAACAAGCAGTTCTGAGCTAAATCTGTAGCCCCCGTAGATACAGCACTATCAATGCTTCCCAAAGGCCTGGGAAGGCCCGGGGCCCACAGACAGGACCCAGAGCCATCCCTGCACAGGGCAGACAGGGACATGATGCAGAGCAATGTGGCAGAACTCAGGAAGTTCTGTACGTAACAAGGAACGTCTCTTGGGTATGTAATTCACAGTCTCACCTACTCCCAAAATTCTGCAGTTCAGTTTTACAGCTTCTGCTGCAGCTTCTACACACATCTGTAGTATTAAGTTGATCCTCTCTTCATAGGTTTTAGGATTGAACTGAGTATATTTCTTAACTATTTCACCCTGAAAGAGAAAACACCACCACTGTCTGCTGCGCTGGTCTCAGCTAAGGAGCACACACAGCAAATCTCTTGGTCTATTTCATGACAAACCAGACACTGCCGTGGGACAGTTCCACAGATGCACAGGACGGCTTCAGAGGCAGCCACTGGCTGGCTGGGTCAGCCCCAGGGTACACCCGAGCCCTTTCCCGAGAAGCCCTTCTGGCGCATGGCTACTGAAACAATGACAACTCCTGGCCACCTGGACAGACCCCTCTCTGAGCATAAGGCCAATGCTGGTTAATCTGAATCTTCATTAAAAGGTCATATGTTACTCTCTCAGACTAATGAATTTTCCTTGCTTAAATACTGAGGCAACTAAGTAAATATCCTAAGCACTTAAGCTTTAATCATCTCCCATAACGGGAGCCAATGATGGTATGGTGCCATGATGCATAAATTATTGTGTTTTGTGATAGATTTTAATACCAAACAATCAAGAATAGTTCCTCCTAATTGTTCTTGTTTTTGAGTTATTTTCTTTGTTCTTCTCACTTGGGCATTATTTTAAGTAAACTTCACAATAATGTTGTTAAACTTTTAAAAGTTTCATTGCAATGTTGACTAGAATTCTGCTAAATTTGTAAGTCAATTTGGAAAGTGCTGACATTTAAAAAGCCCTCAGCATTCCCAGCCAAGGTGTTTCTCAAGCTTTTACATTTTACAGTAAAGTTTTATACTTTTCTTTATGTAGATCACATAGTTGTCCGGTTTAGATTATTCTTTAAAGTTTTTGTTGTATTGTTCTGAATAGGATCTCTTTTTCCATTCTTCTGCTATTAATGGAGTTTTTTATATTGATGAAGGTTAAGGCTGTCACTAACGGGTGCTATTAAAAACAACCTGAAGTTGTGATTCTCAGCCCTCACTGTGCGTCAGACACACCTGGGCGGCTCTGAACCAACACTGGTGCCCAGCCTCCCGCCGCAGAGCCCGGTGTGATCCATCTGCGGTGGGAGCCCGGCGTCTGCGGATTTTTTTAAAGCTTCCAGATGACACTACTGTGCAATCAGGGCTCACAAACACCCACTTAGAGGAAAACTAAAATTTTTGCCTGCAATTTCATATCAATAGAAAGTTACTGACACTTATATATTTATCCTAATACCTAGCCATTTTACTCAATTGTCTTATTAATTCTATAACATTGTTTATTCACACTGCCTACAAATAACACTTTCTATTTTACCCTGTCCACAGTCTCCATTTCTGCTGTTTGTTCCACGCCTTATTCCCTTCACAACTTCCAGGATAATGTTCAGCAATGTTGTAGAGGATGTCCTTCCTTTCCTCTCCATTGCAGTGATGATGCCTCTAGAATTCTTACTGTGAGGGGTGCTGGCTACTGACACGGAATACATCTTATGTTAAGAAAATATTCTATGAGTACCTTGTAAAGATTACTAATAAAAGAGGCCTTCTGGCTTCTCTTAAAAGATCATATTTTGTTCTGCTTTTCTTTATTGACCTAAACAACTCTGCCTATGAAGTCTTTGCTATTTCTAATAAACTCCTGAAACTTTATACACAGACAGGATCTCAAATGAAGACTTTTCTTGTGAAATCATTGAAAAGCACTTTAACATGGACGCCGTGGGGTTTTTATTATGAAGGCTCTCTCAAGTTCTGGCAACACCGTGGTGATGGTTCACCGAAGGGACTGGAGGTGTGCTGTGCTCAGCCAGAGTCGTGTGTAGAGGAGAAGCAATTCCCCTCACATCGGCCACACCCTCCCCAGGTGGTCAGTAACCCACACACGCCCTAATCCACGCTGATAACCAATACAGAGCTTCAGGTCTCTTGGGGGGCAAAAGCCCCTCTGGGACCTCGGGTCACCCACTGGCAACTCAAGTGCGCTCCCTTGGCCTCCGAGAGAATCTCACTCCTTTGAAGTGTTCCTGATTAGTAAAACAGCGACAGACATTTTGACGGACCCAGAAAGTCAGTGCTGTGGGCGAACAGTTACAGGATTTCATGTGTGTTTCTAGTCCTCCCTTCCAACTGTACTTTTTACAAACCAATTACTTGTAAGACCTCAGGCATTCGTTCTTTTACCTTCATGCTGACTATTGCAACTCGGAGGTTCGTCCCACCGAGATCAACAGCCAAAGCACTCAGAGTTTCAAGAATATGGTCAATGTCTTGAGAGATGTTGTCCTTCACGGGAGGAAAGCAGAATTTCTTTTGCAGTGGCTCTTGAAGATCAATAGATTTGAGAAACTTCAAAATCCTTGGAACAGCATTTCCATCCCCATATATCTTTGAACTGTAATATCCAAAAAGTCAAATTAAATGATTTTCTCATACATACTAAATGATACTGAGGACATGGTGTTCATGGAATCTCAGACCCGAGGTCACAGTTTCTACTTTTTCCTTTTAAAACAACATCTGGATCTCTCCAGCAACACAGCAGCTTCCTATCCCTGGCGAAACGTCTAATTCCATTGTTAATGGAAACACAGCTATTTTCCAGCCTGAGATACCATTAAAAATGCTTACATTATCAAAGAAAAAAATATCTTTGTTAAGGCAATTTCAGCATGTAACAGTCTGAAACAATGATTTTTTTTTTTGGTGATAAAGGAAAAGAGTCTTTATTCAAAAGTGTCACAGTTTTGGAATAACAGCTTTCCACATGCTTTAGTCACTTAGGTCTCTCTATTAAGGTCAAACTCTTTAACTCTTTAGTTACAGTTTTAATCACTTAAACCTATCAATTAAGACTAAACTCTTAACACCTGAGCTCTCCTACATTTCCCGGCCTCTACCCCACTCCCCCTTTAGTTTTAATTATCTTAATCTGTAGGGTTAGTTTACGAACGAAAATAAGATACACAAGCTGCACAGTTTTGGAAGAATGGCAGGCTTCTGTCTCAGAGCCTGTCCCCTCTAGCACACCCAAAGAATAACCCCACCCCCCGCCAGGCCAGCCGGACCCTGGGCTGCACCCGGAGTTCCTTCCCATCCAAAAGACCCTCCGTTGGGAAAAGCAGGCAGCTGCAGCACAATCAGCCAGGCATCCCCAGAGCCAGAGAGAGCCCATGCCACCAAATTTTTTTTAAGTTTTCATCTTTACATTCATGGGGGAAAAGTTATATTCAGGGAAAAAATATTCCAATACAGGAAAATCTCATTAATTTGAAATAGAAAGGAGGGCAGTCTAAATTAAAATGCTGAATGAAACTATTTTTAAAGAAGATCAGTTATATTACTTTCTAATACTTATGGAAAATCAAAGTAGGCTAAAGACCTATTTCCTAGCTATGTTAATTAACTGAGACAAATAAAAAAATTATTCTCCATCGGAACCCCTGGTGGAACAATAGGCGTATGTTAACAAGCCTTGTCTCCCCACCAGCTGGGGGCTCAGAGGTGGAGAACGAGAGCTCTGTTAGGGGGTTCAAACAGGGGTGGAGAATGAGAGCTCTGGGGGGGGGGGGGGCTACAGGCTGGAAATGGTGCCGAAGGCAGCTCCTCTTTTAAAGCGCTTTTAAAAAGAGAGTATGTACTCACCAAGGGTACTGTTTGCCAAATTGCAGATGCAGTGCTTGCAGTATTTTGTCCTGGGTATCAGCGTCCCGGACATGAAGGACATTCTCTCCTAGGTAAACCCAGTGACACAGTGCCATGATTCAGAAGTGGGAATACCCAAAGAATAAAGAAATTAGCAGTGTGTTCTGCTCATAATTATCCCTGAATCCCAGAGGCTGTAAGTCTTCTCCTTTTAGAGAAACATCAACCTTCCTACTATTTACCTTTCTTTAAAGCACTCTCAGCAAGATCTCATATGTCATATACTTAAGGGCACTAGGGTCCTTCATTCCCAAAGGAAATAAAGTTTTTGTATACTTATTGTAATAAACAAGTTGGATTAATCTATTGGGTTGGCAAAAAAATCCATATGATTTTTTTCCATAAGATAAAACACACATTTTTCATTTTCACCAATAACTTCATTGATTTGGATATTTTGAGTATGTCAGTTGTCTCCCATGTGGTATAATGTTGATTGTTCTCAATGTCTCGATTTGATCACTACCAACTTCAAGTGGGCTACCCAACCGTGGAGCATGGTCTAGCGAGAAATTTCCAGCACAAAAGTTTGCAAACCACTTTTGACACATTCAATCAGTCACAGCATCTTCTCCTTACACTGCACAAAACTGTGTTTGCATCTCACTTGCATTTTTATCTTTCTTGAAGTAATAAAGGATAATGTGCCAAAAATGTAGCGTATTTTCGTCCATCTTCAAACACAAATTGGCTACACAGAAATTCACCAATTTTGGTAAATTTTTTTAATGTGCACTGATAAGACAGGCGTCACACAGAATCTAACAAAGCTGTCAGATTGTACTGACCTCGAATGAAGTCAAAGACAACTAAGTGCCACTAGAGCCATCATTTGGTTAAGAAGAGGGGAAGAGCAGAAGGGTGATGGCTGGAGAGAGAGGGGTATGGGATCAAGGAAGGGGCTATTTTGTATTGTTTTGTTTTTAAGAAATGAGAGGCTCAGGCATGTTTAAATGATGAAGAAGTTAAAGATACATGGGAGAGAGAGGATAACTGGTAAGACCCTCAGAAGGCAGAAGGGGCACTCTGGAACACAGAAGGCTAGCAGTGGACAGGCAAGAGGAACCCCACATCCCAAATGCTCCAGTATGAAGAAGGTACAAAGCATGATGGGCACGTGCTTATAAAGTGTGGTGGCAGGAAGCACAGAGACTGCTTCTGACAGAGGACCACACTACTCAATCCCATATTAAATACTCCATTCACATCTTACTTGAACTCTCAACAGCTATCAGTACCATCTTCTGAAGACACTTTCTTTCCTGGGTTTAATGACACCACACTCCTGGTTTCCTCCAACCTCACTGGCAATCCCTTTTCAGTCTTCCTCCGTGGGCCTTCCCTTCCTCGCCAGAACTCCAAATGTTGAGGAGCTCCTCTGCTGGGCCTGGGCTCCATTCTTGTCCCTATTTATATGTCCCCACTGGGTAATCTCATTTAGTCCCTTGGTTTGAAATATCATCTCAAGCAGAGCATGCCATTATCCTCAACACCTTTCCCTATACTGGTAACAGCATTTTCACTGGGCAGCTGACCACCCAGCTAAAGGATATACTCTGCAGCTTCCCCTGCAGCTAGACATGGCCTTGTGGCCATGTTCTGATAGGATGAAGAAATATTTGCAACTTCCAGGTCATGTTTTTAAAAGGAAAGACATTTTCCCCTTCCCCCTTCCAAAGGGCTAAAATGTGGACTTCACAGCAAGACAGATGGAGGCTAGGTTCTGACCATACCAGTAGGAAACAAAGAAGAGACTTCTGGCCAGGATGGAGGCATAGGTGGAAACACTGTGCCTCCATGCACAACCAAGTTTAAAGACAACAAAGTTATAGTAACAAAAATGCAACCAAAACACAGAAAATTGAACTGTACCGAAGTCCAACAACAACGAACCATTCAGCCAGACCAGTAAGAGGAGCGGAGTTGGGCAGGAAAGATAAGCCGACCTACCCAGGCACACAGGCGGCCGTTGGCAGATCCCAGGTGTGGGGCCGCAACGGGCAGACCCAGTGAAGGTGCAAGGCAGCTGGCTGACCGCAGACACACTCTCGCATAGATAAATCAGGCAAAGGAGCGAGCAGTGAGACAGACTGCTCAGGCTATGGGCCCAGTGACAGGAATTAAAGTCTAAAAGCACCAATTGGAAAAACTCTCGGGGTCAAGGTGCCGGGAAAAGCTCCCAGGCTCACAGTTTGTTGGAGAGACCCACAGGGTCCTGGAGGGTGCACGGGCCCATACACCTGGGAGCTAGCACCAGGGGGGCCAGATTTGCTTGCCGGAAGCAGCAGAGGGGACCAAAATCTGAGGGCAGAACAAATGCCAGGCGTCTCTCTGACCCCGCCCCCACCTGCAGCGTCACAACCCAGCGACTGGGTTGCCCCGCCCTGGTGAACATCTAAGGCTCCGCCCCTCGCACCTAACAGGCGCGAACAGACCAAAACATTATGGCTCAAACAGAAGAACAAATCAAAGCCCCAGAGCCAATACTTTTAAGCGACCAAGAGATAGCCAACCTATCAGATGCACAGTTCAAAACACTGGTGGTCAGGATGCTCACAGAACTGGTCGATTTTAGTCACAAATTAGAGGAACAAATGAAGGCTAAACTAATTGAAATGAAGAGAAATGCACAGGAAACCAATAATGATGAAAAGGAAACTTGGACTCAAATCAAGGGAGTGAACTAGAAGGAAGAAAAAGACCAAACAGAAAAATATGAAGAAACAAGAATTCAAAAAAATGAGGAGAGGCTTAGGAACCTCCAGGACATCTTTAAACGTTCCAACATCTGAATTATAGGGGTACCAGAAGGGGAAGAGAAATAGCAAGTGGAAAACTTATTTGAACGAATAATAAAGGAGAACTTCCCCATTCTGGCAGACGAAATAGACTTCCAGGAAATCCAGGAAGCTCAGAGAGTCCCAAAGAAGTTGGACCCAAGAAGGAACACACCAAGGCACATCATCATTACATTAGCCAAGATTAAAATGAAAGAGAGAATCCTAGAAGCAGCAAGAGATAAGGGGACAGTTACCTACAAAGGAGTTCCCATCAGACTGTCAGCTGATTTCTCAAAAGAGACCTTACAGGCAAGAAGGGGCTAGAAAGAAGTATTCCAAGTCATGAAATCCAAAGACCTACATCCAAGATTGGTCTACCCAGCTAAGCTTTCATTTAGAATGGAAGGACAGATAAAGTGCTTCTCAGATATGGTCAGGTTCAAGGAGTTTATCATCACCAAGCCCTTATTATATAAAATGTTAAAGGGACTTATCTAAGAAAAAGAAGATAAAAATATGAACAGTGAAAGGACAGCAAACTCACAGTTATTAAGAACCACACCTAAAACAAAAGCAAACTAAGAGGACTAGATCAGGAGCAGAACCATAGAAATGGAGATCACATGGAGGGTTAGCAACAGGGGAGTGGGAAGAGGAGAAGGGGGGAGAAGGTACAGAGACTAAGTAGCATAGATGGTAGGTAGAAAATAGACAGGGGGAGGGCAAGAATAGTATGGGAAATATAGAATCTAAAGAACTTGTGACACATGGACATAAACTAAAGGGGAATGGTGGGGGAGGGGTGTGTAGGGTGTAGGGGAATGAAGGGGGGAATGGGACAACTATAATGTCATAATCAATAAAATATATTAAAAAGAAAAAAAAGAAGAATCTAACTCATTTAAGGCACTATTATTTTGTGGTGTCTCTGTAAAGGCCCTGAACTGATGCTCTAACTAAACACCATCCAATACGCCAATCACTCTTGTATCTTCAACTCGAACTCTGCCTGGAACTATCTAGCTGCTTAGAAGCCATCTCCACTTTGATCCCCAACAGACTCTCAAACCTAACATGGCCATTAGAGAACTCTTAATTCCACCCCTCCCAAATCTGCTCCTCCCTCAGCTTCCCCCCCTTCAGGAAAGAGTGCACCCAGCCACAGAGTAGGTGTTGACTCCTCCCTTCTTCCTTTTACTGCCCACATCCAAGCCACAGTGAGCACCATAACAACCCCAAGTCGGACTTTTCTCACTCTGACGCTGCCACGGAGTCTAAGCCGCTGTCATCACATAGGAACTGAACAAGCCTCTTAACTTGGCTCCCTGGTTCCTCCCTGCCACCTCATTCCACCCTCCACACACCTGCCAGATGATCATTCCAAAACACGAAATACCGCAGTAAATGGCTCCCCACTGCACTTAGAAAAAAGCCCAGAGTATTTACCCTGGCTTAGGTCTGCCTCCTTCTCTCACGTCGTCTTGCACCCACTCTTCTTGCCCATTGCCCTACAACTACACGGACCCCTCTGGTTCTCAGCTGCAGTTGGCTTCATCTTCACAGTGGTGTTTTCCTCTGCTTCCCCCTGATCTTCATGAAGCTAATTCCTTGTCATTCATACCTCGGCTGAAGTGTCCTCTAAAAGTCGCCTTCTCTTGTCCCCCCTAATGTGGCAAGCACATCTGGGCAGCACACGGCCTAGTTTTTTTCCTTGGTTCATCATCGATTTCTCCTCCCACTTGAATGGAGGTTACATGACAGCTCAGAGGCCACGTTCAACTCCAGTCTCTTAAACGCTGCCCTCAAACCTCACAGTTACCTAAGAAACTCTTAGCTCTAACCGGTATTACAAAGACAATAAAAAGGTAAGTAGAGCCCTAAAAAAAAATTTGGTGATCCCTGTGTGTTCTTTATAGATTTTAGGTTATAACTGGTCATTAACTTCATTCACTCACTTGATAATATGTGCATACCTTGTAATTATCCACACACACGTGTTAAGCCAGTCAGTCAAAATATAGGCAAAGGTAGATACCTGTCTCCCTTCCAATCTGACGCGTTCCTAGATTGATCACAGGTGTTCCAAAAGCGCCAACCTCTCGGACCCCACAACTGCTGTTCCCAATCATGCAGCCCGCGTGGGCAACCAACTGTATGAACTGGTCAAATGGGACGTGTTTCACTGCCCGGAAATTAGGGTGATGCTCAATGCCCTTCTTCCGCATCACTCGAACCATCTCTTTGCTCCCTGCAAGAGTGAAGAGAAACAACTGTTACACAGTTTATGAGATAAACAATTTTCATTGGCAAGTACAGTCCCACTTAAAGAAATCTTCCCATAAGGACTCGTAACAGTTATAAAGAAACAGTCGTTTTAACACCCTACTTTGTTTCCCCTGACAATAAAGATTATTCAAGACCCTGAGACAGGGAATCCTTCAGAGAAAGACGGTGACATCTGGACACTGCAGTGAAGGGGTGCTGCCTGTTTTACCACAAAGCACCTAAGAGCTTGGCGATGGGCGGTGTCAGCTCATGGTAACCAGTACGTGACAGCTCCTGCTTGGCTTTCTCACTGGTATCTCATGTCCCCATTAACATGGTTAAGGACTCGCAGGCACCAAGGCCTGCAGGCAGGCCTGAGGATCAACTGGAGACTAGTTCTAATATAAATAGGAGAACAGGAAATAGTTATAATGATGGCCACTTTACTGTGGTTAGTGGGGTGGTTACACTCCTAAAGACACTTTTGACTTCTAAGGTTTGTCTCCTGGCTGTTGCATTTTCTTACCAGTGCAAAATGGAGGGAAGAGATTTAACATAAAATGAGAATGAGGATTAGCGAGATCTTTTTTTTTAATATTTATTTCCTATCAAGTTCCTACTAGACTTGACAAAAACATCACAGCCTCTTCACTCCACTGCAGAACTGGTGATCCTTTGAAAACGGGAACACATTTCCAAAGAGAGCAGCCTTCAGCATAAAATGAGCACAGTAAGAATGGCAGTCCAAAGAAGACCCAATGGAAACACACAACTGGAAAGGGAGGGGGCACACTGTCATCTTCCAGTCCCATTACCTGCATCAACATTTGGAAACAGAACTAGGGTCCTCTTGTTGAATGAGATAAGCGCATCCAGCGTTAACTCGAACATTTTAATGGAATGCTTAATGTCGGTGGTCACCGGGTGCTGTAGAGCAACAATGTAATCTTTAGGTTTTACATCATCACCTGTTTAAAGAAAATCCAACCACATTGCTTCATTAGTTAAGAATCTCAAAGGAAGAAGCAAATTCCAAAAGGCAAACCCCAAAGTCTGTGCTTCTAAAAATGCTAAGGGAAAGTAGTTTGTTACATTTTTAGCAGGCCATCCAAATTAGCTTCCAATGATAAGGACATACAGCAACAAGTCCAACGATTCAGCACACTTAACATTTTGCAAAGGTTCTTACTACCACAAGCAAAATACATAACTTGAAATAGCAGACACTAGGATTTATTGTTTCAAATCCAAAATTCTTCAAAGCATTAGAAAAATGTGAATCGTCCCAATTTCTAACTAGTGTATCTAATGAATTATCAGCAATACCAATGAATAATACCATGTTGCAAGTCAGGGCATTTCGAGATTGAATGAGCACTAAATATATTTCATATAAGTACACAGGAGCTTCCCCACACCATCATCCACCAGATTCAACACATGGCCAGGACTTCTAAGCCTGTTCAAAGGACTAGAAAGGCTCCACTTAACCCCAGGCTGGGATCCCAAGGACAGTCCCTTGGCAAAGATTTAAAGGGTAAATGGTTCAGATGGACAGTGCTCTGCCAAAGCAAAGCACTATGGTCAACAGGGCCTGGACTCCCACATAAAACTAGACATGAGCGCCACGTGCTTATTTTTAATGAGAATATATTTCTTTATGATACTAGCTTTAATGATCAACTTTATATTACACTGTAAGTTTATCATTAATTTCCAAATTCAAACAGTAGCTGTTATTGTTAAAAAATTTAATGGTAACATAATTTGTACTAAGAATCTTCAGTAGTATTTGATTCAAGAGACTATAGGTTCCAATTTTTTAAAGGTTTCTTATTTATTTATTTTTAGACAGAGGAGAAGGGAGAGAGAGGGAAAGAAACATCAGTGTGTGGTTGCCTCTCATATGCCCCTCACTGGGGACCTGGCCTCAACCCAGGCATGTGCCCTGACTGGGAACTGAACCAGTGACCCTTTGGTTCACAGCCTGTGCTCTATCCATTGAGCTACACCAGCTAGGGCTACTTTAAAAAAAAATTATTGGCCCTATATTATGTTCTACACTGGGGTTTGGGGAGATATAATTATTAAATTTTTGTGCAAAGTAGGGAAAAGACTTAAAGTTCTAAAAGAATCTATCAGAAACAGAAGTCTAGAAAGAGGTGATCAACATGAATGTAGCTAAGTCACTAGACAGAGATCAGGGCTATCAGAGACTATGGGGAAATAGCAATAAAAGAGATAAAGGATATGGTACAAGTTGGCCCTGCTAGTGCACAGTTCTATAATGTGAATAAGCTCCTGTGTGTCTCGTAAATAGAAGAATGACGTCAGCCTTTAATGTAGTCATTGAGTTTTTCATTCACGATTCCCCGTGGCTGGATACAAATAACCTTAACCTAAATGTATACAACCAGCAATGGAGGACCTGTGTCTCTGACCTCTGCGGCTTTTTTGGGGGCGGGTGGGGGGGGGGCGGTTGTGGCAATTTTTCTTTGACAGTGAGGATGTTATTATAGAGCCCCGGCAGTCCCCTGCAGACAGGACCGTTCTGTGTAACTTATTGCTAAGGGGCAAGTGGAAGATGAAGAGGCAGTTACAGCAGTTTACCCCATGGGAGCTTTCCACTTCTCATCTGTCTTCTCCTGGAAGTGGGATTAAGAAGCAAGTGCACTATTTAGAAAGTAACCATATAGTGCAAGAACTACATGTCTTTAAAAAAAAAAGTGAAAAAAACCACACAGGACAATGAACTGCAGCTAGCCAGCCCTGGCAATGATACGCTCTGTACAAAGCCTACAGCTGCTTCTCAGTGCACAACTCCTGACATCATCACTGTGTCTATCTCCAGACCTCAGCAGCTTCAACCCCTCCACCCAGCCCTTTCCATTAAGGTGCCATCATTTTGTTTTGTGTTAAAGTTCTGTATTTACTGTGCCATTTCTTCCGTTACTGGGAATTTAACATGTCTTTTTAACTTTGCTAATATTTTTATTAGGACTGTTATTTATTAATGTTCTGGTTACAAAGTCACATATTCTGAGAGGCGTACCCAACACTACTTTGCCCATTTACGAGCAGTGTGGGAAACACGAGAAGCAGGTACGGACTCTGCAAATGTATTATTGGTAGAGGTAGGTGGCTTGGGCTCATGGTTTCATTCCCACCCAATTCTCTTCCTCTTAACACACATACTGGTTTGGGTTTTTTTTAATCCAGTTTTTGCTATTTTGTCATCTTTCTTTTCATAAAGATATTGCTCAAATGGTTCCAAATAGAACTTTAAGCCCTACAAATACAAGCTTGCTGCATTCCACTTTATGATTATTTTCTATTCATTGCAAGTTTTTCAACGATCCAAAGTTTTATAGAACACATATAGAGCTAACAGTGTAATCAGAACAGAATGAAACAATGTTTACTTAGAGGCATACAAAAAGGAGAGACTAAAGAGACAAGTTTATTCCACCTGTATTATCTAGTCAGGTTTTTTAATAACTATAAATCTGTCCAAGAATAAGAAATATATACAATGGATTGATTAACAGAGCAGAAAAGTTCAACCCCTTTCCTATTTCACTGTGATCTGATATAAAATACACACAATCACCAAATCATTAACTTCATTATTCAATACGTCTACCTCTTTAAAAAGGAGAGTCCTAAATACCTAACCAGATGATTATTCTTGATTTGTCCTCTCAATAGTACTCTCACTGTAAGTTAATCAATGAAATTCTGTTTGTAAACCTATTATCTTTGCCTCTGATTAGCAACAGATAATTTACAGGAGGCTAAGATCACTGAACAGTTGAAGATTTCAGACCTTAAGACTTATTTACAGAGATAAACTCTAAGACACAACTCTGACTTTTGCTTTTAATAATAATAATCATAATCCCTTTTAGTAAGTACATGTGGCTTACTAACCACTTCTAACATTCATTATCTCATCTAAGTATTCCAATAATCAAGTAAGAAAGGCATTAAAATTAAAAATAACAAATTTTCATTGTGCTAAAAACCAAAATAAAGGAAAACAAAAATAAAAACACCCATCATTCTACTAATCAAACACAAATATTATAAATGACTTGGTGTACATACTCCCTTGAACTTTCTATTGTTACTGTTGTCATAGAAACGACATCATACTATACATGAATGTTGTATCTTGCTTTTCCCTCCTTTTTGCTGTCAAGATCTATCCCTGTAACTATTCACCCATCACATATTTAATGTATTAAAAGGCATTTCATTGTATGAATATCCGTTAAGCCTTTTTAACAGAAAAGGCGAGTCTCAGAGAGGTAAAGTCAAATACCATGGTAAGATCTATGACCTATAACCCTAGCCTTCTAACTGCTAATGGAATATTCTATCCATGATAGTTTCTGAAAGGATTAAAGTATACCTGACACAGGCCCTGGCTGGTATGGCTCAGTAAATTGAGCGCTGGCCTACAAATCAAAGGGTCTCCAGTTTGATTCCTAGTCAGAGCATATGTCTGGGTTGCAGGCCAGGTCCCCAGTGGGGGCATGTGAGAGGCAGCCACACATTGATGTTTCTCTCCCTCTCTTTCTTACTCCCTTCCCCTCTGTCTAAAAATAAATAAATAAAATCTTTTAATGAATAAGTAAATAAAATAAAATATGCCCAACACAAACAAACACAACCACTAGACTGAATAGAGTCTGATACGTACCCAGCCACATCCGAATGATGCTCATGTAGTCTTTGTTCTTGGCACAGAGCAGTTTGTCATAGGAAGGGCAGCCTGCCAAAAGGATGCGATCATGGTCCTCGCACATGGATATCAGGTGTTGCTCTGCACTTCGGGTGCAGCACACGTGGTAATGAGCCAGCTTTGTTATGGCGTGTCTGATAGAATCATCGATGGTCCCGCTGACTTCTCCACCTTCGATGTGAAGGATCCGGATGTTCATCAAGGCAGCAGACGTTGCCAGTGCCAGGGCATCGAACCTGTCTCCGTGAACTATCATAATGTCAGGCTTCAGGCGATTAAGGACATCTGGTAGCTTCACTAGGGCCAGGCCTACTGACTCAACCATGGCTGCCTCATCTTCCCCTCTAACAATCGTGTGTAGCCTGGTGTTAATGTCAAAGTCATCTTGTTCAATCATGCGGTATGTATTTCTACAGCAGGGGAGAAATAAAGATGTGAGAGCATATTCTTAAATACAGGGCCATAAAAACATGAGAAAAGCAATCTAAAATCAACTCTAAAGGGAGAAATATTTTATAAAATTTCCTTGTCAAATAAATGGAAGTATAACTTACAAAAATTAAAAGCACAGACCACAAATGCACGGATCACTTGGTGAATCTTTCTGACTGCATGCCCTGTAGCCACTGCCCAGACTGAGGTACAGCCACGCAGCTGCTCTGTCTGTGGAGCAGCCACTCCATGTCTCACTGCTTCACTAATAAGCTCTTTTACAGAAGAAAAAAAAAACAACCATCCAGCAGCATCTTGGAACTCTTACTTATGCAGTGAGGACCTGGAGGGAGAACTGTCTGAGGGAGAATTTTATTAGGGGAAAAAAAGACCAAAATGTACAATGGTCATGACTTCTTTTATATATTTATATATATCAACATATATAAATATATATATTTCGTGTATATTTCTTTTTAAATTTTTTAATATAAATTATATATATATTTAGTTTTAAAAATTTAAAAAGAAATATGCTACTGAATAGAAAAATACTACTTATAAAAGCAAAGCTCATTTAAAAAAACAGTAGGGAACCAGGACACCTGACATATTACTATAATATAAACTTCTGAATGATGGAAATTATCACCTGGATTTTCTTTGTATGTTATAGATGCAACATAATTTTTTTAAATATTTTATTTTTATTTATTTTTAGACAGAGGGGAAGGGAGTGAGAAAGAAAGGGAGAGAAACATCAGTGTGTGGTTGCCTCTCACACAACCCCCACCAGGGTCCTAGCCCACAACCCAGGCATGTACCCTGACTGGGAATCGAACCAGTGACCCTTTGCTTCACAGGCTGGCACTCAATCCACTGAGCTACACCAGCCAAGGATTGATGCAGCATGATTCTGACTGGTGTGAAATGAAAGTTTTACAGCATTAACTTGGCTGTGAAATGCACTTTCAAGTCTGTTTCATGCTTCAACAACAACAGTAATTTGCAATGTCGTAAAATTTCCTGTGTGTTATCATGAGATTCTAAAAGGTATGGCTTTTTTCCTAAATATGTAATACATTTATTATTGAAAAATGGAAAAACACTGAAAATTAGCATCAATAAACCTCCATTTGGCAATACCAGTGTTATCATTTTGATTTTATTTCTAGTCATTTCATGCATATATTAACATGGTTGAGAACACAGTACACATACAATTTTGTCATTTACTTAATTCATTTAACACTAATATTTTATGATATCACGAAGGATTCTTTACACACATCACTTTACCTCACGTGGACGTCCTAACAGTCATTTCACAGATTCCTTTGGATTGTGCTACACAAACTATGTTGTCTATAAATAAACAGTCTTTGTGCTTTTATTTCTATTTCTTGCTTTATTGTGTGGGCCTCAATGTCTAGTACAAGTTGAAAAGAAGTGGTGAAAGTGGAACTCCTTATTTTGTTCCCAATTTTAGAAGGAAAGCATACATTTTATGTTAGTTATAGGTTTTTTACAGTTGCCCTTTATCAGACTGGAGAATTTCCATTTTATTCCAAGTGTGATACAAGTTTTTTTAATCTAAGTAGTTGTTTAATTTTGTCAAATGTCTTTTAGCATGTATTGATGATCATATGGGTTTTCCTCTTTATTCTGTTAAGGTATTAATTATACTAATTGATTTTCAGATGTGAAATTAACCTTGAATTTCTGAGATAAAACCACTTGGTCATGATGTATTAATTGGTTTTTTATATTATTGGATATGACTTGCTAATATTTGTTTAAATTTTTATGTCTATATTCATGAGTGATATTGGTCTGAGTTTTATTTTCTTATAATGTCTTTGCCAGGTTTTGATGCCAGAATTATGCTTATCTTATAATCTGGGGAGTCATCTACTCTCCTATTTTCTAAGTTTGTATAAGACTCGTGTCATTTTTTTCTTTAAATGTTTGATAGAATTCATGGGTGAAGTCCTGTTTGTGGGAAATTATTTTTATAGGAAGTGTTTGATAATGAATTCAATTTTTAACAGATATAGGACTGAAGATTTTTTTCTGCCAGTTTTGATAAGCAGTGTTTTTCAAGGAGTTTGTCCATTTCATCTAAATTGTCAGTTTTCTTAGCCTAATACTCCCCTTTTAGTCTTTTAATGGCTGTAATATTTTGAAAGGAATAAATTTTGACTTAAATTTCTCTATTGTTTAATCTACTTTCATATTTCACTGATTTCCCATTTTTATTATTTCCTTCCTTCTATTTAATTAGGGTTTAATTTTTTTGTTTGTTTACTGAAGTGGAAACAGATAACTGATTCTAAACTTGTCTTTCATTTTTTAAGTATGTTTTATTGATTATATTATTACAGTTTTCCCATTTTTTTCTACCCTTTATCCCCCTCCATCCAGTACCCCTATTTCCTCCAGCATTCCCCCCCTTAGTTCATGTCCATGGGTCATACAAAAAAGTTCCTTGGCTTCTCCACTTCCTATACTATTCTTAACCTCCCCCTGTCTATTTTCTACCTACCAATTGTGCTTCTTATTCCCTGTACCTTTCTCCCCATTCACCCTCCTCCCCACTGATAACCCTCCATGTGAACTCTATTTCTGTGATTCTTTTTTGTTTTCTAGTGGTTTGCTTAGTTTTAGTTTTTGTTTTTTTTAGATCGTTGTTGATAGTTAGGAGATTATCATTTTACTGTTTTTTAAAGTATATTTTATTGGTTATGCTATTACAGTTGTCCCATCTTGTTTCTGCCCTTTATTCCCCTCCACCCTGCAACCCCCTCCCACCAGAATTCCCCCCGCCCAGTTTAGTTCATGTCTATGGGTTGTACATATAAGTTCTTTGGCTTCTCCATTTCCTATACTACTCTTAACCTACCATTTATTGCTTCTTATTCCCTGTACCTTTCCCCCCATTCTCCCTCTCCCCCTCCCCCTCAATAATTCTCCATGTGATCTCCATTTCTGTGATTCTCTTCCTGTTATTAGTTTGTTTTTGTTTTTTTATGTGAGGTTGTTGATAGTTGTGAGTTTGTTGTCATTTTACTGTTCATAGTTTTGATCTTTTTTTCCTTAAATTAAGCTCCTTTAACATTTCATATAATAAGGGCTTGGTGATGATGAACTCCTTTAACTTGACCTTATCTGGGAAAAACTTTATCTGCCCTTCATCCTAAATGAAAGCTCTGCTTGATAGAGTAATCTTGGATGTAGGTCCTTGCCTTGTCTGACTTGGAATATGTCTTTCCAGCCCCTTCTTGCCTGTAAGGTCTCTTTTGAGAAATCAGTTAATAGTCTTATGGGAACTCCCTTGTAGGTAACTGTCTCCTTTTCTCTTGCTGATTTTTAAGATTCTCTCCTTATCTTTAATCTTGGGTAATTATGTTGTGTCTTGGCATGTTCCTCTTTGCATCCAACTTTTTTGGGACTCTCTGAGCTTCCTGGACTACATGGAAGTGTATTTCCTTTGCCAGACTGGGGATGTTTTCTTTCATTATTTTTTCAAATAAGTTTTCAATTTCTTGCTCTTCCTCTTCTCCTTCTGGCACTCCTATGGTTAGGATGTTGGAACATTTAAAGCTATCCCAGAGGTTCCTAAGCCTTTCCCTATTTTTTTTTCAATTCTTGTTTCTTCATTCTGTTGTGGTTGAGTGTTTATTTCTTCCTTTTGTTCCAAATTGTTAACTAAATCCCAGCTTCCTTCCCTTTACTAATGGTTCCCTGTATATTTTTCTTTACTTCACTTTGTATAGCCTTCACGTCTTCCTTTATTTTGTGGCCGTACTCAATCACCTGATTACCAGTGTTTTGAACTCTGCAACTGATAGGCTGGCTCTCTCTTCATCACTTAGTTGTTTTTCTGGAGTTTTGATCTGTTCTTTCATTTTGGCCATATTTCTTTGTCCGACACACCTGTTACATTGTAAGGGGCGGAGACTTAGGTATTTGCCAAAGTGAAGCAACCCACTTCATTGTGTTGTGGTACTGTATGTGGGGGAGGGGTCAGAGAGGGAATAGTACCACTTACTCAGCTCTTTCCCCACTTTCAAGAGACTGGAAGTTTCTCTCACCACCACAACCTCCACAGGTTATTATAGCCAGATGTTCTGAGGCCTTATCTTGCTTGCACTGGGACCCTGGGTTACATGGTCTGTCTCGCTTCCCAGTTGTTCCTCCTGGTTTATAAGCACATGAATGTGGGACCACCTAGTCCACCAGCCACCACAGCTGCTTCCTCAGACCACCTACTTCCCTGTCTGCCAGCCACCGCCTTGCCATGCATCCTCTCTGCCCCTCCTACCAGTTTGGATGAATGTTTCTTCTTTAACTCTTTGGTTGTCAGACTTCCATACAGTTCAATTTTTTGGCAGTTCTAGTTGTTTTTTGTTTTTAAATTGGTTGTTTCCTTCTTTTGGTTGTGCTAGGAGGCAAAGCATATCTACCTATGCCTCTGTCTTGGCTGGGACCTATTTAATAGTTTATTTTTTATTGTATTTTTTCAATTACCATTTATCCCCCTTACTCTCCTTCCACCTTCACCTACCCCCCAAACTTGTCTTTTTTTAAATATAGGTATTTAAAGATATAAATTTCCCTGTAAGCACTGCTTCATCTATACCCACAAATTTGGTATATTACAATATTTATTATGCAGTTCAAAATCTTTTCTAATTTCCCTCAGGATTTCTTGTTTGATGTATGGGGTTAAAACTTACAAATAAAACAACCTGATTAAACCATGGGCTAAAGACCTTAACAGACCCCTCCTCACCAAAGATGATATAAAGATGGTAAGTAAGCAGATGAAAAGCTGCCTCATACCATATGTCATCAGGGAAATAAAAATTAAATGACAAGATACCACCACACACCTATTACAATAGCTAAAATACAGGACACTGACAACACAAAAGGCTGGTAAGGATGTGGAGCAGCAGGAACTCTCTTTCATTGC